TTTTTTTTTTTTTTTTTTGTTTTATAGATCCGTGTAGTTGGAACAATCGAATGAAATTGACCTGTATTCTTCCTCTCTTACATTCCATTTCACTATTTTCGTCCAGCTTAATTGAAGAGGAACATGATTCACAGTACGTTTTCTTTTTGTCGAGGATTGAGAATCTTTAAAAAGCAGAAACTTTGTTATACTGGTTGGCGCAAGTTTTCATCCAGCAGTGATTGACGTATTCCTTCGTCTTATTTTCAGATACTTTTTCTTCACAACATGTCTTTTTGTAACTCTTCTTGACGAGCTTCATCTGTGGCTCCGCAGTAGCAGCCAAGTAAGCGAAGCCAGGTAAGTAATTAGATTCATTTTTTTATTGACCTTAACATTCTTTTTTCGAAATTCAACCATAAAAATGGAACTTCTTAAATGCGCAAAAAACGCCGAAAAATTGGAAATCATCAGTGCTGATGGAAAGAAATCTGAAAAGTAAAGCTTCAGCGATACTTCTTACTGGGGATCTGTGGATATGTTGTTTTTGGCTTGAATACTTGTCTTCTGTCAGCATTCTCGTGAGGCATCTTTTCCATCTTTTGAAAATCATAGGATTTTAGGCTATTCACAATCGGAATTATCATAATATATGAATTTTCATTAACTTAGATCAGAATTTTCTTGTTGCAAAATTCGGGACTACAATTTTAAAAAAAAATGTAAAATTTACATATTGCAACTTGTTTAGCTTTGGTTTCAGCTGTAGGAAGCAGCTGATAAGTTATTATCATCATCAGTTTGCCCGAGAGGATTTATTTGTCGTGCCTTTCAGGATTCCACGGGGTGAAAAGATTCTTTTTCTTGTTTTGTTACTGACGCTGCATCGTGTTGGTCGAGGATATGTTGAGTCAAGCCGTCGTCGTTGGATAATGGAGGAAGAGTTCAGTTACAACATCAACAACGGTACGTTTTTATATGTTTAAAAATACGTGGTTTGTGCGGGGTCGTACCAGTATTCACAAAAAATATCGGAGAAGAATTGTAAAACTGTACGGTTATAAAGAAGCTTAGGCAGTGTCGCGAACGGAACCCTTTCTCAAAATCTGGTTTGGACCGAGAGGGAATTGAACCATCCCTCTTCGTGTCCGGACGCAACGTATTGTCACTAGACCATCAGTCCTTGCATTTTCAGTCTGGTAGCACATCTGCTGTGTATCTGCCTTTGCGAGCGACATCCTTTTCTTCTCTGCCTCGCAGAGACATTTTCCATCTCTGTCTTTGTGGCTGCTTCCTGGCCGACTTTTCGCGGGTTTTCTGTGACTGACAGGCACAACTACGGTGACGCCACCGTAGTAGCGCCGTAATAATACCGTCTTATTGCAGTACCACTGCAACCTTGCCGCGTCGCCCACCGTAATCCTAATAGACAGGAATGTTTCGGTTCATTAAGGATGTTCCCGACCCTTATGTTTCGGTCTGTCATTATTTCAGTCCATTTTGGGCCCATATTTTAAAAGACCTTTTTTAGTTTACGAAATTCTTAAAATGCTTTTTATATTATTTTGTTTTATTTTAGGGTATTTCTCGCATTACTACGAAATTTTAACAAGTGTCCATTCTGAAAAGCAACCTGATTTATGCACTGTGCTGTAAGTTACTTTTAAATTTCCCCCATCCACAAATTTTTTCAAAAGTCCAAAGTCATTTTGTGTTAATGAAACGCAGAAGCTGTTTTTGGTATTCCATCTCTGAGAATAGCATTACAGTTAGAAATCTAACATGCGTGATACCCGTCTGCAAAACGAAGGATGAAGTCTGGGAAATGAACGCCAGATTTGCCTGTGTACTAGTCACATAATAATTTAGCAGTCGTGGAAATCGTGAAAGATTATCAAATTTTATGTAATTCTAAGGAAACGATTGGATGATGAAAAAATAAAATTAGTAACCAGCTCACAAAAAACTGGTAACTAGCAAATGAGTCAACACTTTCCGAACTAAAGAAAACACATTTAAAGTCCCCTCCACCCCTCCCTGCGTCCCCCCCCCCCCCCCAAAAAAAAAAAAAAAAAAAAAAAAAAAAA